TGGATCTTCCGGCTCAAATCCCGCAGGTCCACCAAATTTGGAATTCTAAAGCGCATTCGACGTTCCCATTTCTTATGACGCTATTGAGCTGAGTGATACGGACTCATACAATTCCTCCTCTTCGACTGATGCTCCTACAACTAGTTCATCCTCAGCAACCTCCTCATCTTCTTCACCTTCCTCTCCTAACAGAAGTTCTAAATTGTCATCCCTGAGTTCCAGCTCGCGCTCTGACCCTTCGCGCACCAATGGCTCGTCGTCCATGTTTGAATCTTCTGCTACATCACTTCAGCTCCAACACGTGGACAATGTTGTTCCAAAGCTGCGTCGATCTACTCAATCGAATAAAGGCCAACCGCTTGCTCATCACTCTGATTTTGTAGTGTTCTCTACTCCTGCTATTGTGGTTCTAGTGACCTATAAACAGGCTAAAAGACACTCCAAATGAGACAATGCAATCTTAGTGGTAACTCAAGCTCTCAAGGCGGCTCACATGTGGGACTTGGTCCCTTGATCACCTGAGTTTTCCGTTATTGGTTGTAGGTGGGTATTTACTTTGAAAATGAATCCAGATGACACAGTGGAAAGGTTCAAGACTCGGTTAGTGGCACAGGGTTTTCGACAGGAATATGGTATTTATTATGCAGAGACCTTTGCGTTGGTTGCAAAGATGCAAACAGTTCAAAGTCTGTTAGCAGTTGCCGACATGAAGAAGTGGTTGTTAATTCATCTCGATATGAAGAATGCCTCCCTTCATAGAGATCTTAAGGAGGAAATATACATGAAAATTCCACCTGGTTATACGAGGGGTGATAGCTCTATGGTATGTCGTCTTCATCGTTCGTTATATGGATTAAAACAAGATCCGCGTGCGTGGTTTAAGAAGTTTCAAGAAATAGTGGTTTTAGGCTAGTTTTGTGCAAAGTGATAGTGACCCGTCTCTATTCTTGTGTAGCATGACGAGGGGATTGACTATTATGTTGATATATGTTGATGATATGGTGCTTAGTGGGGATGATGTCGAAGGAATCTAGGAAGTCACCCAGACCCTATGGTCTATGTTTAATTTGAAAGAACTTGGTAACCTATCATATTTCTTGGGGTTGGAGATTCATCTTTATCCTGTGGGAATTCACATTGGTCAACAAAAATATGTGATGGGCTTACTTGAAGAAGCTCAGATGGACGAGTGTATACCTTGCGCTACTTCGATGGAACAGAATATGAAGCTGAGACAGGCAGATAGTGATTTGTTGTCTAATGGATCACTGTATTGCAGTATAGTAGTAAGTTTGATCTATCTGACTCATATGAGGGGTACAGGCAATGAGATTCATGTCAGCCCCTCTAACAATCCACCGGTCTATAGTATAACGTATTTTCCGTTATCTCATGGGCATCCAGGATGTCAGATTGCTATTTCCAGTCGGAGGAGAGTTTATGATTAAAGCTTATGTGGATGCTGATTATGCTGGTTGTCTTGATACAGGTCACTCGACTTTGGGATGGTGTGTGAAAGTGGGTAGTTCATTTATTTTGTGGCAGTGCAAGAAGCAGGATCAATTTTCCAAGTCATCAACTGAAGCACAGTATCGTTCCATGAGTGAGGTGGCATCCAAAATTACCTGGTTGTGTCGTTTACAGGCCGAATTGGGAGTTCGTGTTATGACACCAGTTTGCCTCTATGTTGACAATGCCATTATCATTCGGATAGTGAAATCCCGTTGTACACGACAGGACAAAGCACATCAAAGTACATATTCACTATATTGGACTGTTGGTGATAGAAGGTTCGGTGGAGTTAGCATATATCACTTCAAAAGATCAGACAACAGATTTATTAACTAAGGCAGTGTCATCTACTCGTCATTGGTTTCTAGCACACAAATTGATGTTGCGCAAGCACCATCAAATTGAGGAAGATTATTAGAAGTTAGGAGTATCTAAATGTAATTAATCTTTTAGGGTTATGGTTCGGCCTAGTATATATATGTTGAAGAGGCTGATTTGTATCTGTAAAAAGTACGTGAATAATAAGCATGAACTCTGCCTTGTGTCATGGACTAATCTTAACGATCATCGTTGAGGAAACCACGTAAATCTTGTGTGTCATGTTCGTGTTTTTGTGTGATTAATTTGAACTTTGACAGTCCCCCCCCCCCCCATTCCTCACTCCCACCAGTGAAGAACTGCATCCTACTTCAATCTCACAATTGAATGAAGATCAACATCTATTATTTCCCCTGGCAAGAGTAGAGGAAGATCAGGATACATAGCACCATAGCAGAGGAACATCAATACCAGTAATAATATTAACATATACCACAACCAATACCAAAGCTAGTACACTTTCATCATATACTAGCAAGATCAACCAATACCAGTACTTACAGTTGAAGTACCAATCTAAATGAAAACAAAAATGACCTCTACCATAACATTATCAATCATTGTCACTACATTCCATGCACGCTTTGGTGCCTGTTTACATGTCTAAATCACTCATCGAACGTGCATACCACTACGAGTTGCTTTACTTTTGAATACCAACAATAGTATGATGGACCTACAGGTCACGAGGGCTCAAGCAACAATCATGCAAGGGGTGATGGGTTGTCTCGTGGCTGAAGAGAAGCCCAAATCAGTTGGGGTTAGCTGCTGCTCATTTAGGAATCTAGTAGTTAGGATTTGATTTCATTGATTTCTTATTTTGAGTCAGTTTGTTAGTGGAGTTGATGCCTACGTAATTGTTAGGATTTTTCTAGATTTGATAGGTGTAGGGAGTTCGGATGGATTCTCCAAATCTTAGGAGATCTGGGTATCAATTTGTGAACCTCGATCGTTAGGATTTCTCCTTTATATAGAGAGGGTTGAAATGAATAAGAAGCAGCAGAATATTAACTGGAAAAAAGAGCAGCAACTCTGGCTGGTTCTCGCCACAAGAAGAATTCTACTCCCCTAATTTCCAAGTTCCAACATTTGGTACCAGAGCACGAATTCATGGCTCCCAAACCTGATGCAGACAACGAGAGGATGGAATCTCTGGAGGCTAACTTGGAGGCTCTTCATGTAGCAATCTGAACTGCCATTCCTGACGACGTCCGCCTAGTTGAGAACTCAGTCGCAGCATTGGGGGGTTTTGTCGCAGATTTAGGAGGATGTTTGCAGGCCCTCGAGGGTCACTCTGCTGCCACCCAGACTAGCATAGAAGAGAACCTCCGTCTCCTCCAACAACGTGGCCTTCCCACCTCCGAAGTTGACCGCTCCTTGGCAGTGTTGAATCTCCCATTCCACTGAGTTTATAGACGAAATGAACGCACTGAGGAAGAACATGAAGTTTGACGTGAAGGCCGACGAGAAGAACCACACAACGCAAGGGAGGATCGGCGTGGAGTCCCCGAGTACTACGAATGCTGAGAAGATCAACCCCGACACGGGCAGTATGATCGTCGCGAGGATCCTCACTGACCGTTGTTTCCATCTCGTTACACTAAGTTAGAACCAATTTTTTGAATACCAAAACGTGGAGGAAGACCAAAAGTTTCTGCTCGCCTCTTATCACTTGGAAGGGGAGGCTAATCAGTGGTGACGTTGGTTGCAGAAATCATATATTCAATACGGCATCCAGATCACTTGGGAATTATTTTCTAGTGAATTATGGACTCACTTCGAGCCGGTCGATGATGATGATGCAGATGAGGCTCTTACTCGAATCCGGCAAATCGAAACTCTTCGCGATTATCGGCGGGAGTTCGAGCACCTCGGTAACAAGGTTCATGCTCAGTAGGCTTTAGTAAGAGCGTTCATGAGTGGCCTCAAGCCCGAGATTTTCGAGACCCTTCGTCTCTTTCGATCGGATTCATTGAAGGAAGCCATTCGCCTTGCACGAATTCGTGACGAACAGGTTGCTCGAACAAAGTTACTGGATGCTACGTGTCGGCAAAATCAAAATCCTTCTCGATCAAACGCTTGCCATGGGATGAACAGCTACGTCGTCGTGGTGTCGGTCTATGCTTCAACTGTGATGAAAGGTTCTTGCCAGGTCATCACTGTAAAGGGGCGACTGTGTTCATGTGCAGCGACTTCGATGATGATTTTCTTGGCGATTACGGACTTGGGGACAAGTCCATTGTTCCAGAGGATGGAATGATGGACCTGCAGGTCGCGAGGGCTCAAGCAACAATCGTGCAAGGGGTGATGGGTTGTCTCGTGGCTGAAGAAAAACCCAAATCCGTTGGGGTTAGTTGCTGCTCATTTAGGAATCTAGTAGTTAGGATTTGATTTCATTGATTGCTTGTATTGATTTAGTTTGTTAGTGGAGTTGATGTCCACGTAGCTGTTAGGATTTTTTCAGCTTTGATAGGTGTAGGCAAGGTTGTTAAACCCCTATCGGACCCCCGGTTGGACCCGATCTGATCAATTCGGGCTTCAAAACGACCTCCAGAAAGCCCCTGGTCTGACCACTAAGGAGGGAGAAGAAGAGAGGAAGAAATGAAGGGAGATTTTTTTTTTTACAAAGGAAGGGAGGTGGGTGGGTTATAGAGATTAGGTAGATTTATTTTTTGAAAAATAAATTTTTAATTGATACATGTAAAATAAATGTCATTTCAGTCAATAAATCTTTAATTACTAGTTTATTTGTATATATATTTAGAAAACGTCTAAAACGGTTCAAGCCGACCGAACCCCAACCAGACCATTAAACCTCAATTCACTTACTTAACCGGCTCAATGGCTTAAACTGTTTTCACAACATAGATGTAGGGAGATCGGATGGATTCTCCAAATTTTAAGAAATCAGGGTATCAATTATGAACCCAATCGCTAGGCTTTTTCCTCTGTATATAGAGGATTGAAATGAATAAGAAGCAGCAGAATATTAACTGGAAAAGAAGAAAAAAAAAACAGCAGCTCTGGCAGGTTCTTGCCACAAGAAGAACGCTATAACTCCCCTGATTTTCAAGTTCCAACACAGTACTACTTTATCATTGAATACCAATACCAGTGCACCATTTTCATTCTCTGTTGAATGTATCTCAATTGTGAACAGGTCTATATTCTTCCCTTCCCGACGCCGTCGAACGGTGAACAAAGCTATATTGAAGAACTTTTCTGGTTCTTTGAGGCTAGAGCACAAATCACAAATGTCATCATCTGTTGGAAAAGTCTACTCCATTATAAGCAAGCCCATCTTCTTCCCTTCTCAGCGCCGACGAAATGTGGACGGAGCTAAAACGTCATTAATAAAATCTTAGTGCTATTACCAACAACAAAAAATCTTAGTGCATACAACAAAGTACAAACCCACCCAAAACTCATATTTTACCCTTGGTAGTTACGATGACCATCCCTTTAAGAAGGGCACTATATTTATTTCCCTAAACTCCTTTTCTTGATTAGTGAAAAGAGGACAAAAATACTTCCCATCCCCAAAGTAAAAATCCGTTTAACTTTAATCATTCACAAAAAGACGAACCCCTCAATCGAAAGAGAACTGTCAGAAGACTCATTCCCTCGCCCACTCGGTGAAACGGTAGCGTTTCGGCCCTTGTTTGTCTTTCTCGCGTTTTCCTTATCGGGGCTCGCCGAAACTCCCCAGCTGCCGCGACCGTTCTTCTTCCCCTCCCTCACCGCCGGCGACCCCGCCGACCGTCGTCCATACCCTTCTTCTTCCATGTCCGCCCACCTTCTCATTTCGCTCGAACCTCCACCGTTCCGGAGGCTACCCGACGAATTCCTCTCCTTCTCTCGCTTCTGAGGAGAAATCGCCACCGGCCGCCGCTCTCTCTCCGACTCTCTCGACAGCGGCGACGGCCTCTCTCTCCCGGCAAGATACGGACCCTGCCTCTCCCCACGCCTACTCCCTGGAGATCCGTACGAATTCTTCTTCCACGCTTCCCTCTTAACCGGCGACATCGTCGACCCCCTTTCCCTCTCCGCCGAGTACCTGTTCAATTCCACCGCCGATTCCCGTTTTCCGGGGGAAGAATACTTCCGCGGAGCAGCGAACGGGACCGGACCAGGCCTCCTCGCCGCCGCAGCCGCAGCCGCGGAACTCATCATCATCATCGGAGGCGGAGCCATACGCGGAGGACCGTTGGCAATGCTCCAGATCTCGGAAGAGAGCTGGATCGCAGCCGCCGCGCCGTGATTACCCCGCTTCGGAGGCGCCGCCATGGGCGCCGCACCCGTGATGCTCCAGATATCGGAGGCCAGAGGGATGGTCTGATTCCTGTCCCCGGCGGCGGGGCTGTCCTTCTTATCGAAGCTGAAGCTGGAGGCCGCCGGCCCACTCTTCTTCTTGGCGGCGGGGCCGTCGATGCTGTTGTTGGCGCTGTTGTTCCTGGCCCGCGGGGCGGAGGTGGGCCTGGGCCGGGAGGCGGAGGGCGGGCGTTCGGTGAGGACCTCCTTGACCTTGACCCGGTCGACGTCGTCGAAGGAAGTGAGTGGGCTTACTGCGGCGTGGTGGGCCTTGTTGTTGGGTGGTTTTGGGCTGGAGGGATGGGCCGCCGGGTAGCGCTTGTTGTGGTAGCGGCGGCGGGCCTTGGGGTGGTGGCTGGAGGAGGAGGCCGGGAAGCTGGTGGCGTTGGATTCGTCGGAGCTCTTGCTGGCACAGCAACCCATATTGTTTGTTTAAAAACAGAGTAACTGAGAATAGAGGTAAGTAAGAATGGGATTATGGGAATGTGGGGAAGAAAGGATTGAGGTTGAGGGGTTTAGATAAAGAAGGGGAAGAAAGACAGAGAGAGGAGACGAGGAAGGGCGAAGGAATTGAAGTATGGGGTTTGTTTAGAAAAGAACCGGCGGAGCCAATGGGGAGAGGTTGAGTACAAGAGTGGATTTTTTTAGTGAGGTTGACGGACGGGTAACTTCAAAATTGTGTTGCGCTCGTCAATTTCTTGTTTTTTCCAGTGTTCTATCTTAGATTGTCTTCTTTTCTTTTATTCCGTTTGTGAGAGATGGTTAGTGTTTTTGGGTATGGATTGTAATGAGTTGTGGCTGTGGGTATCAATCAAAATCATAGTTGCAAACTAAGGAAGTGCTTGTAGGTGACAGCCAGCTGATGATGATCGAAACTCTCATTCGGGTAATATGTGAATTATGAGATGTTTTGTTCTCTTGGTCTGGTTCAAATTGCGGTTTATCGTACGAGGTCGTGGACCCAATTCACTAATCAATTTGTGTTAGTAGTCCACTCGATCACTCTTCTCGCACCCTCAACGAGGCCCACGTCTCAACTTTCGTTTTTTGAATCACGTCCTCTGCTTCATTCACAAATCACACCCTGGTAGAGAGCATAGGGGTCTAGGGGATAATGTCTTCATATGACATTAAATTATTGTTTATGACGTTATGGTGAAAGTTGGGTGGCTTTAACTTTTTGTCTATTATTTACTTGTATTTGTATATATGGTATCAAACTTATGCATGCTATTGGATTTAGATTTTTAAGGAAAACACATGTTTTCTCTTGGTTATTGGTTCGATTTATGGTGTGATAGACCAAATAAACTGCTTACTTTTTGTTTAATGTAGTATGCCTAGTCCAAACGAGATCGGACTAGATCGCAGATGTTGTCTGGTCCGAACCACATAGTATCTAGTTTGATCTGTGTACTCCAACCCTTAGTAAAAAGATTAACACTAGCCTTATATTATAGTATACTGCTACAAATGTTGCCTGCATTTCGCCTTTCCCATCCTCGGTTTGGAAATGGGCTTAGCCGAAAATCAGTTCATCAATAACGACTCATCTCCTAGAGAACAAAGAACATCACGAATCAGGAGACAACCAATATAGCCGCAAGTCACATTAGAGTTCGCCACCATATCAACCAACACAATTCAGTTCCACAGGTTCGATTTCGAGGTAGTGATATGGAGAGTAGAACTGTGATCCTTTCATGGTAGTGTCTTGAACTGCTTATGGAGAACAAATTTACAAGAATTCGAAACGAGACACGCAAAGAGCAAAGCCAATCATTTCACTTCATATGTTGGTCGCCTCTAATTCTCGACAAGGCTGCAGCAAATATAAACACTACGATTCATGGCCTTTCCTTGCTCAAACATTCAGGGACCAAACAAATTCATCAGAACAGAACAAAAAAATTGCAGGACCAGAGAAACAGGGAAGGATTGGATTATCCAATACAACATTACAATTATTGAAATTTACAGCCAGGAGGACCGAGTAAAGAACAGTGACGCTTAACATCACGTTAATCCGAATCCCAAGAACAGCTCACCCAGGTTTTGTTGTACGTGCCATTAATGTAATGTAATCTCCCGCTGCATGGATCTTTACTTCCAATGAAAGTGATAGGGGCTGTTTCCAATGTGGAACAAAAGGACAAATGCACAAGATTCATCTTAAGATACAGATGCAGCTGTGCGATCCGACTCAATCATCGATTTGATGTAGAACTCGCCCGCCTTGTATGATGATCTAACCATTGGACCAGATGCCACGTACCGAAATCCCTGTAAACCACATCCATACACCGGTGTAAGACATGCCAAAGAACAAAGAGACAACCCAGAAACCAAGACTAGGGAGAGAGAGAGTTGACGTCAAACCCAATGGTGGGCAATGCTATACTGAAATGCTATAATAAAACTCTCGATTGGTGCCAGTGAAGCGAATAGAGGTGGTACAGAGACAGTTAGCAATGAGACAAATGAATTCCAAGGTGGAGAATGATTAACGTTATATAATGATATGTAAACCTTACTCCAGAATCCAGATCACAATGCACTTTAGAAAAAACTACCATGCACAGTCCAGCAGGAGGACAGAAGGGAAGCAGACTGACTGAAGAGGTATATGACTGAGACTCCAACTAATACCATATCTAGTCTAAACACAAGCACAATGCCAGATTGCATGAACAAGAGAGTTCACCCTTGGCTATTTCATGTTGGTAAACAGTACAAAGCAAACACTAAATAATTTTGAAATCGAAATTGCACCAGCAGAGAGGTAAACCCAAATCAGTTTGGATGGGTGTGCAGACCATAGAGCGGTCACACAAGAAGTTGGGTCCTCAGAAAGGCCGTGAGCTCAATCCTACTCTGATGAGAAGTTATATCATCTTTGATACATTATATGTACAGTTATTGGAATCGCTAGAATACCGACTATCAAAAGTTCAAGTGGAACTCAACACTCTGAGGAAGATATTTTGAGAAAATGTAGTATCCACCAATTGAACTCATTATCAAAAACTGCCAAGGATAACCAAAAAAATCAATACTAACATTGATCACAGCATTTCCCGATTTACATTTTAAAAGTCCAAGTTTTAACTAATCAAAGCATAGGTTTGGGAAGAGTTAGCCGTCTTATGCCATTCAATATCCATGCAAATTAACAAATAGGCAGAGACAATCTAGCATCAGACAACTCAAATAGAACAACAACAAATACATTAATTTCCAGGGAAAAGCAAGATGTTAGAAAACCATACCATGTCCATGCCTAGAACTCTGTACTTCTCAAAGGCCTCAGGGGTAATGTATTCAGATACCGGCATATGGCGCTTGGATGGTCTCATATATTGACCAAAAGTCATCACATCAACACCTGCAGCTCTCACTTTCTCCATAGTTTTCATAACTTGTTCAGGTGTTTCACCACATCCCAGCATTACCGATGTCTTGGTGAGCGTTCCAGCAGGGGCATACTCTTTGGCCCTCATTAGAACATCTAAAGATTGCTTGAAATTAGCACGGTGGTCCCTTACAACACTTTGAAGCTCTTCAACTGTCTCAATGTTGTGAGCAAAGACGTCCAATCCTGATGTTGCAACCTTCTGAACACAACCAGAGTCCCCTCGGAAATCAGGAACTGTACAGGCAAAGAGAAGAATAACCATAATTCAGAAATAACAATATCAATACATAAGCACAATCGAAGAACTTAAAACAAAGTACTAAGCCTTTCACAAAAATTATCAAATGAGTGGTGAAATCAACCAAAGGAAAGCAAGTTAGTTTCATTACCCAATGCTTCTATAAGCATGTTAGGCTTCAAAGCCTTCAACTTTTGCACGGTTTCAGCAAAATGGCCGCTGCCCTGATCATCCAAATCATCACGATCGACACTGGTAATCACCACATAATCCAGTCCCCACGACGCAATTGCCTCAGCCACATTTCCTGGCTCGTTGGGGTCAGGCGGCGGAGGAGTTCTCGACGTCTTCACATTACAAAACCTTTTTGAAACAGCCAAAAGGAAGACAAAAAAAAAAAAGGAGGCAAACGCTTAAAACCAATCAACCACACCATAAAGCTCCACAACTTAATCACCTATGGAACTTTACCTACACCCACGCGTGCAAGTATCTCCCAGAATCATAATCGTCGCCGTAGCAGTCCCTGTTTCGCCGCCGGACCAGCACTCCCCCAAATTAGGGCATTTCGCCTCCTCGCAGACAGTGTGGAGCTTCAATTCCCTCAGCTTCTTCTTGATCTGAACATACTTCTCCCCACCGGGAATCGCTTCTTTCATCCACTTCGGTTTGGGAAGCGGCTTCTTCTTGGTTCCGACCTCGACGGAGTAGGAGTCGTTGGACTGGAGGTCGACGAAGTCGGAGATTATGGGGGATTCATCAGCCAATCGGGCTCGCAGGCTGGCCAGGGTCTGCTCGAATTGGGGCTTCGTGGGCTCGATCGTAGTGGAGAAGGAGCGAAGAGCCCTCGATAGGGTTTGGAAACGTGGTTTCATGGCTGTCGGAGATGTGGTATTCTCGCCGTCGCCGGCTGATGTGGATTTGTGATAGAAGTGAATCGGGGACGGAGGAAGGAAAGGAAAGGCGGGGGAAGGAGGCAGGAAGACGGTGTGGTGGCCGTTGGATTTGGCTGACAATTGGTTGGTTAGTTTGGTGGGGTTTCGGTCATGGTCTATGGATGGCGGTTGGTTGGCTGCAGTTTACGGACTACTATCCTATGGGCCTAAGATGTTGGGCTCTAATCGGGGGTGTCCTTTTTTCGCAGAAACTCATTAACTGTAACACCTAGGCTAATCTGATAAGCGATAATTATATGGGCAAAGTAGGAATAAAGTTGTGAAATAACAAGGAAGAGCAATAGACATAAGAGTAAGAGTAGAGACACAAAAAGAGTGGGGGGATAGAGCTTTCTTATTCATGTATTCCTTAGTACAAGGAGATCATATATTTATAGGCATACATCACATAACCCCTACATTCTTACAATCAATTTACATGAATGTGAGAATGAATGTGAAATAGAAATGGGGTGGGGGGTTACATGTAACACCCAATTGTGCATCTAATGTGTCATATGAAGAAATAAATATAAGGAGATGAGTTACATAGAACTTGTAACATACCATGGAGCATCTAATGTTGGTCATCCATAATGATAATAATATTTTCATAACACTCCCCCTTGGATGACCATTAGACATGAATATGCCTCGTTAAAACCTTACTAGGAAAAACCCTGTGGGATAAAATCCTAGTGAAGGAAAAAGAGTACATAATCATCATAATACGCTATTTGAATCTGCCTCGTTAAAAACCTTACCAGGAAAACCCAGTGGGAAAAACCATGGTTAAGGAAAAAAGAGTGCAGTGCGTATATGCTCCCCCTCATGACAACATCAATAGTGAACAAATCTTTCAAATATTGTCATGGTAAGCTTATTAGTGAACAAATCTTCTAGATTGTCACTTTATGCATGATCCATTAGGACCATTTTCTTCATACATGATCTTCAAGATCATTTTCTATGAATATAATCCGCAACCACAAGTCATTTAGACGTGTTGAATAACAAATCTTAACCAAACAATTCATAACAAGTCTCATGAATTGTTGACCATTGTTCATGATAAGATGATGTTGTTATTGTGATTTCTTTGGAATCTCCATGAGATACTTGTACGACCATGAGTAAACAAATTACTCATCTATGATCCTCATCGTTACCAATAGGTAACAAAGTATAACTTAATGAAGTATAGCAATATACATTTTTGCTCTAACGACATTGGCATATGGTACTTCAGGACCTAATAACTCGCTTCTATCTCAAGGCCTAAATTGATCTTTGTTCACTTCTAGTGACCTTATGATCATTTGGTTGTTGAACGTATGCAATTTTTTCCATACAAAATTGTTCTTTCACTTTTCCGACACTGTCGTCTTAATCCAAAAAGAATCTTCTTAAATCCTCCATGTTCAATTTTCTTTCTTTAAGCAAACCATGCTTTATGAATCTCTTCTGGAGTTCATATCAACTAAAACATATGAGATCATTATAAAATATTGTCTCGACTCTTTTCTTCCAAATAACTATAAAACTTAGCTAACACAATTGTATGCAAACAATTACTTCATAACACAAGGTCACAAGCAAAAAAGGCACATCATACACACAACATCACTTAACCAAACCACATCATAAATCAAACTCATAACTAAAATCACAATATCACGCACGAAAGCCTATATGTCATTACACAATCACACATACCAAATGCAAATGCTCTAATGCACTTTATTCAAATTTAATCACGTAAGGCTTATTTGACCACTCCTTTTAGCAGATATTCACTTAGATGAATATACCATATTCATCCATTTTATGTCAATCCAAACAAAGGATTGTTTTATCGATCGATATTGTTCTCGAGAACGTCACATGTTTGCTTCTGGAAAACTAATCCTTCAGGGATTTTCGTATAAATATCATTATCAAGGGATCCATACAAATAGGCTATCACAATATCTACCAAATGCAAATTTCATACCTTTTGAACTGCCAAACTATTTAAATTGCACAACATAGTTGCATCCACCACAAGAGAGTATTTCCTCTCATAATTAATGTTAGGTTTCTACGAGAAATCTCTTATGAGAAATTGTGTTATATCTCACAATTTTCACACGCGTTTGCACAAAATCCATTTGTATCCCTTTAGTTTTACATCTTCAGGTGTAAGGACTTCTGGTCCAAAACTTATACCAAATAGCCTAATGCTTTCTTTTATATTGGCCAATATATATTCCTTTGCATGCATCAATAGACTTTTACTTTTGATCATCTTTGTATCTATCATGTTCAGTGCTGCAGCATAATCAAAACCCTTGTCGACAATAAATACACTTCGGTTCCAACTTTCTTCATACAAGCCAATTAATTGAGATCTCTTCATTTTAAACGTTCAGGTACCTACTATTCTTCTGGAACTATGATCTCAATTTTATGAATTGACTCTTCTAGAGCTATTTTATCCTCGAGTTTACCATCTTAATTTATAGCTCCTTCCTTTCTCGAGGATATCTATCCTTGGAACCGATTGGTCTACCACGCTTCATGCGCTCGTTTAGACTCATTAGATTATCCAATATGGACATCAATTTGTATTGGAGTATTCACAAATGGGCATGTGACATAATCACTCCTTTTAGTGAGTAAAAAGGCGTTTGGCAATCAATACGTTTTTTTTCTCCATGAATCACCATATGAACTTCGGGTTCATGTTTCTTCGTTTGAGGATCAAAATGCGATAATGATGATTTCAACTCATATCTATGCCCAACTGTTTACTTTTCTCCCCCTTAACGTTCGAAAAGGAACTCGTCAAAATGATGATGTTAGCAAAAGAGTCATGAAAAAATCTCTCATTGCAATGGATACCATGTCCAATATAAGTTCTGATGGAACTCATAACGTGTTGTGGTGGAGCAATTGGGATATATTCTGCACACCCAAATTTTCTAGCATTTTAAATGTTTGGTCCCTGACCAAAACCATTTATATGAAATGGGGAACTTATGATAACTTGTTGGCTTCATGTGAATTAATGATATCATATGTCTCGATAAGAGATCGATAGACTTAGTTTCTTCTCATAAGAGAAGTTCTGTTTGATTGGATAATCATCAAAATATATCCATCATTCGGCAACTAATCTCGCAAACATCAGGTTGCGTTTAGATAACAGACATATATGACGATATAGTTGATGAATCAATCAAAATCATAAAATTCATATATGATTTGCACGTTGAGTGTATTTTTCTGCATACACTTTTATAAAATCTCAACATAATCAATTATTTTCACGAGTATATTCTCCTCGAGACCATGTATCACATAATCAATCCTTTGATTGATGAATTCTATGAACTCTCACTTAATTTTTGTATGATATCTCAATCATTTTCGCATCTGTATCCGGGATGGTATGACCGGACATGCCAAAATAAAAAGTTATCCGATCTTGCAAACTTCTGGTTTACACTTTCATATGTACTAATATACATGTAGTACAAATTTTTCTAGTTAAGTATATGTTCTCTTATAACACATTTCTGATGCAATATCAATTATGATATTCTTTTCTGCGAATATCTTCATAATTCGGTAATGCATCTTCAATTGACAGTTTAGTTCATTCATGTCTCAAAACATTAGCTCTTCTGGAGCCTTCACATATTCTTGTACTACATTTTGGCCATGAGGCACCTTCTGATTCGGTAAACTATTGTAAGCGCATATACATAGTGATAAGAATATTTACATACTATGAATATCACCAATATATTGTTTAGTTACTTCAAGTAACAAAACACAATCTCTTCCGGAGCTTTTCCTTACTTCCATACTATATGATATAATACCAGTATTGACTTTTGCAAATATTCATTATATACAAAAATATAAAAAATAATAATAACAACAACAACAACAACATATATGTGTTTCATAACACATTTCGGCATACGAAGGTTACAGTATATGATCATGACTTTTGCTACATAAATTATCATCCTCATTTATAATTATTTTATCTTTCACTTCCGGTGAAAAGATATATTTGCTGATTGTCATTATCCAAACACCAAATTATATTAATATAATGGTGTGTCTCGATCCATTCACTTTTAAGAATGGTTTGTTTTCATTCGCTTCCAGGAATGAAACAACAGCCTTTGGATCAAATTATATAATATTTCTCATCATCACAAGTCCAATACATTTTTCACCTTTAACTAACAAGAAATTAACTTACACTTTGTAAAACCTCTAAGATAATATTGCTACTGCAGGAGCACATATAGATTTTCATTTTTCTTTCAAATGATTCTTGGACCAATAAAAATTCTTTTCATACATCGGGTACAAGATCAATGATTTTTCCCCATCGCAATGGTAACTCATATTCCAATATTTTAGTTACCAGATCCACTTCTTTCATTTGACACATTTTTTCTTCATTTTTTCCACTTCGGGTGAAAATGAGATCTTTAGACTTTCATTTCTCTATATGTCGAATGTAGCAATCGATAAGTCAACCCATAATGATTTTGCTACTACAGGAGCAATTTTCATTATTTGATAATGTCCAAGCACAAACTCCATGTTACGAGATCGACATATATAAAATAATATAAACAAATAGCATGATCAAATAATCCCTCAAAGACAATGAGATAGATAAACATACTAACAAGAAATGACATGAAAATTTGCATACCTTGATCGTGTTGTGATCTTACTCAAGTATATGTGATTATGTAGAGAGACAATGACTAACCATTACTTTGGCAGAGCTCGTGCTGATAACGTGTTGTGAAATAACAAGGAAGAGCAATAGACATAAGAGTAAGAGTAGAGACACAAAAAGAGTGGGGGGATAGAGCTTTCTTATTCATGTATTCCTTAGTACAAGGAGATCATATATTTATAGGCATACATCACATAACCCCTACATTCTTACAATCAATTTACATGAATGTGAGAATGAATGTGAAATAGAAATGGGGTGGGGGGTTACATGTAACACCCAATTGTGCATCTAATGTGTCATATGAAGAAATAAATATAAGGAGATGAGTTACATAGAACTTGTAACATACCATGGAGCATCTAATGTTGGTCATCCATAATGATAATAATATTTTCATAACAGGAATGCATAATTCATAAATAAAAAAATCGATTAAGACCTATTGTTTTGTGAAATTGAAGAGTCCATATAAGCACTCTGAAATTAAACGTACTCATAATGGAGCATTGCAATGATGAGTAACCTTATGAGAAATCACTTTGATATGCACCCCAAGGCAAAATCTGTGCAAGTCAAGATACAAAGCAGTCAATATCTTATTTGGGAAAGGTCCGGATGTTACAAGTGATATCAAAGCCTTTCTATGTCCCTCTTGGCCGATAGTGGAGCAAACCTCAATTAGCGCGTTGAGTCCCAAATGAGGTTGCATGTAACACCCTAGACGAATCTCACATCGACAAAGCACGAGAGAGATGCATGATTCATTAGTAAAAAACTGATTTTAATTGATAAGACGCGCTTTGGGGTGAAATGGAAGAGTTCTGTAAGAACTCTTAAGTTAAACGTGCTCATTATGGAGCACTGCAAAAATGAGTGGCCTTACGAGAAGTCACCTTAATATGCACCCCAAGACAAACTCCATACAAGCCAAACCCAAAAAGGCTAATATCTTTTCGGGGTAAATTGCAAGGTTGGTCACTAGAAGTGCTAAAATATTCATGTTTAGTCACTTAAAAAAATTTATTCTATTCGTGGTCATTGAAAGTAGTTAATGTTTTACGATTGGTCACTCTCCGTTAGTTTCCACTAACACCGTTAGTGGTTTGTTGACGTGGCAACCAAAAATGTTGATTCATCCAATTTTAACCTGCCATGTCATAAAACTCGACCTGCCACATCATGACTCAACCCAATTCAACCCGTGACCCGAGCAAAGAAATTGAAGGAACCCAATTCTTTAATTCCTCTACACATCCCTCGATCTCCCCCATCTCTCTCAGCCTTTCCTCTTCTTCTTCCTCTGTTTGATACGCGCCTCCTCCTCGCCGTCGTCTGCTACCCTCCGTCGCCCAAGCATCCTTCTCCGCAACTCTTCCTCGTCGTCACCCGACCTCCCTCCGGCGCTGCTCATCATCTTCTCAAGATGGGACCCCGAGGCCAGGGTATATTGCCATCCGTCTCTCCTATAAGTGTTGCTGCTATCATCTCCGTCTCCCCAACCATTGATAACTTCACCTCCGCACTCTAGTCCCGCACCACGCTGACGCTGATTGGACCTTCAAGAATATCCCGCAGCCTTCTCTAGTCGAGCTGGATCTAGGAGAATCGCCTCTTTGCCCCGTCGATTTCAGACTCGACGAGCAAAACTAACTCTAGGGACAGTCGGGGCCCGAATCCAAGGGAGGTTGCTAGCCTCTGTCTTCGGCGGCGACAAATCTGGGCGGCGGATTCCATCTTCGATCTGTTCGTTGACAATCTGTGTTCCCGAATAGAAGCAGCAGTGCCTTCACGTTTGGGAATGCATCAGTTTTGGCGTTCCACCATGTTTTGGGTTTGGGAGTACTTGGGTTTACGGGAGGAGGCAAGGGGAGATCGGCTTCGAGGAAGAGATGGTCACCATAGCATCGACAATCAAAAGTAGATGCTCCCCTCGGCTGGGATTTGGAATTGGAAGATTGAAGCTCCTTCTTCCCTGTCCTTTTCGGCCAATGGAGTTTTAGGTCGGGCGGGTCAATAAGGAGGGTTGGGTCATGGGTTGGGAAATGTGATGTGGTGGGTAAAATTGACGTGGCATGTCCGGTTTTATGAGGTGCCAGGTCAAATTTGGATGAATAAGCATTTTTGGTTGCCACGGCAGCAAACCACTAACAGTGGTAATGGAAACTAACGGAGAGTGACCAATCGTGAAACGTTAACTACTTTCAGTGACCATGAATGGAATAAAATTCTTTTAGCGACCAAGCGTAAATATTTTAGCACTTTCAGTGACCAACCTTGCAATTTACCCTATCTTTTCGGTAAAATGTTAGTGTTGTTATAGGAACTTTTAGAATTTTTTTTATAGAAAACTAACTTTTAGAATTTCGTCACTTAATACAATTTTTTATGAGGATGATATACATTAATTTTCTTATTATACTCAATTTAAGAGAACTGTTAACCAAACCCTTGTTCTTATTTTCATACTCTATAGATGTTGTTGGATTCGGTGGAGTCCAGCCATCGAAATCCCAGAAGGAATATGTCGTTTGGTGAGACGAGGGTGGTGCCGAAAGGATGGGCCGCCTTCGGGCACACAGTACTATTAGCTCCGGGACATTTCTTCTATAAGCTGGTGGATTTTATCCTCTCTGGGGAAGCACGCGTGAGGCCCAGCCTATCATGTACCCCAACAAGAAAATGGAAGCGCCCGAAGATCTTGTAAAAGGAGGACAAGAAGCTACTTCTAACCTCTCCCTTCGCCCGCTTTTCGGGCTCACATATTCTAAACCTTCGCCCTACGGGCTCATATATTCCTTCCCTCTCCTTTCAGTCGAGCAACTTCGTTCCTTCGCCCTTGGGCTTATAGGCCCCCCTTCAAAATAACAATAAGCAACATAGTAAGTTGGCGCTTCCTGCTCGCCAAAAGAAAGAAGAAGAGGAGGGAAGGTTTTCTGGATCGACACACGAAATTCAATAAGAGAAGAAAGACCAAGAGGACGGATTCGAACCAATTGTTAGTAATAGCTACGAAACGAGAAAACGACAGCTGAAGAAGTATGATGAGAATGGGAAGAAGAAAATTGTGGTAGTTTGGATAATTGGATCAATTGAAGGTGGGTCGATATCAAACCGTAGAGTAACCACTCACATGAGTAGGACTGAAACTGGGTATGACCGGCCTCTAACCCTATAAGAACCATGTATGACCCACCTATGTAGAGGGCACACGCGTATGCCACATTAAACAACTGGTTGTATCATAACAGCATCGAGATTCAATCTCCACATTTGATCAATGGTTAAGTGTTAGAGCGTCATGTTTACGTTATTTTTATTAAAAAACAATAGCCCTCGTTTTTTTTTCTTCCTGGTGGAAATGTTAAAACCCCTTTGGCTAATTAGGTAGGCTTCTCCTAACCATAATAATTTATGTTAATGAACATTATTAACCTAACCCTAAGCGGCTAAGCTGATTTCTTTTCCTCTCGAAACAAAAAGGAGACACCATTATCGTCATCCAAGGCTCCCTCCCTGTCTCTCGCCGTAACGTTCTCCGAGTTCTGCTTTCTTGACCATTCTTGAGCGTGGCCGGTGGACCTTTATGTTTATATATGAGACACTTCGCTTGAGCTCTGCTGGGTGGCCCAACCCAACGGACTGTTCACCGATTAATTTTAATTTGAATTTGGTAGCATGTGGGTTAGGGGGAGAAAGTCGTTATTAACAATAACAATTAGGCAGGACTTGAATTAAAGCAGGAGGTGCAGACTGCAGGCCCATGACATTCATTCGACCAGTCCACCACTCACATGATGCTCCTCTCCGCTGGAACTGGCACCGCTGCCTATTGTTGACCACTATTTGTGGCTCATTAGCTAATTGTAGCATCTCTTCCTGGAATTCGAAGCATCTCATGTCCTCCTCTTCGCTAATAGGATGACAATTTCGACCTGATCCGTTTTACCCGACCTGTTTGGTCTACTTTAGAGCGGGACGGAACAGGCATGGGTACTCTCATCGACCCGACCTGCCCTGACCCACCTCATTCTCGACCCGTTCTTGCCTAAATTACTTGTAATCTTAGTCAAATTACTTAGAATCATTCTTTTATTACATCATATTTTAGCTATAATAAAGTTGTAAATTAGTGAAAACCTCAATTTCTCCAATAATTTAACTACATTTATCATAATATTGTTGTTTTCTTGGTCTTATAATAAAAATAAAGAATATTTCTAATGTTTTTCATATAAATTGCATACACATTGGGTCGACCTGCCCCCGACCCGTAATAAATTATCCGACCTGTCTGGGGAGGGGGGTCTGGGTACCAAGAAACCCGCCCCGGACCTGCCCCATTGACATTCGTATTCGCTAGTGGTGACACTCGGTTAAAGCTAAGAGGGGATCTAACTCTTATAAACTTTGAGTTATAAAAAAATGGCAAAATACACTCGTATAGCCAAAACTTTCGCGTTTGTACAAAAAATAGCCAAAATTGGAGAAATACCACTTATATCCACTTTCGTCCAATACTTTAACAATGTCATCTAACAAGTTGTCTGGAAAAACGGAAATGATGATTTGGCGATATTGCATCAACAACATTGCCATGTAGATTAATAAAAATGAAAAATAAATTTAATAAAGTCCACAAACCCTCAAACTTCCCATTTCTCTCCCTCTAATCTTCCTCTAATTGAGTCATCAATAATGCGTAGCAGACAAGAAATCACACTTTAGAACAAGAACAAAAGTATGGAAGACTAATATAATCAACCGCTGTTAATCCCCATTTGTGTACGGCTGCCATGACTTCTCTTTCACCACTCACCACATCATCCACTATCGTCCTCCTGCAGCTCCGGCGTCAGCCTCCTTCCTCTCTTCCTCCCTGTCTGTGTGAAACCCAAGGCCGAAGAAACATTTCTCAGCGGCCATGGCCGATTCAGAAGAAGAACAAGACTCAACCTATCTTCCGAATCAAATGTCGCTTTTGTCGACAAACAAGAATAAGAAACCCCAAATCCCAAATCCGAAGTCAAAATCCACAAATTGGAAGTTAAGCTGACCTTCTTCACAGAGGCAGACCAAGAGAGGATGAGTCCCACGAACACGATGAAGAAGAACAGACCCCAAAGATCCCAATCCCTCAACGCCTTGTCAGGATCTTCCCTAAACGGATTCAGAAACACCACCAGCTTCAAATTACTCACAATCCTCGTCAGATCCCTCTTTTCCATATTCCGTACGAGCTCTGTCAACGTGTTCGGAGCTGAGCCGAATCCAGCTGCCGCTATATTGTTCGATCCATACGGGGGCGCAAGCCAGGGGACAGTAGCGGGAAGCATAGAAGGCGGTGGGAGGTTGGACTGTAGAAACGGAGAGGACGAGACGGGGATCCACGACAAACTCGGTGTGCGGGCAGGTTGAACTGTTGCAGGAGCTGGGGAAGATGATGGAGTTGGGGAAGATGGGTTCTGCGAAGCAGATGGGTACATGAGGGTAATTTTGTTTTAATTTATGATGTGTAAATTTTAAATAATTGAAATATATGACGTGTCACTATTTGCTTATTTGGCGCTGACGTGTCTGTTGATTTGGCGCCCAGTCAGCGAACTGTCAAATAAGTTTACGGTGTTAATAACACCATTAAAGTATCTAACGGAGATGGCTATATTTGTCCTACAACAACTTTAAAAGCTGGTTATAAGTGGTATTTCTCCAAATTTGGCTATTATTGGCACAAACGCAAAAGTTTTGGCTATACAAGTGTATTTTGCCTAAAAAAATATACATGTAAGTTTTGTAAAATTTTACGAATTAAAATAGTCGATTAGGGTTTAGTCTCCTTCTTCAATTACAATAATTCAAGTCAGCCTCTCCTTGTTCAGAATTCAGGCTCCGTCACTACTCCTGGTAGCTGTTTTCTGCGCTCACAATAGGACTGGAAAGAAATACCGTGACAATCCCAAGGGGTTGTCATTTTTAACAACACCCATCTTAGCCCTTGGTGGACCCATGGGGGTTTAGAGGTATCTCGGAACACTCTCAAATTTGAAAAAAATATTATCAAATCCGCAATAGTAGTTTGCATACGGGTATAAAAATATTTAAGTGATAGTGGGACACCGCTAAAATTTGAAAAAATGATTATCAAACTCCCAGTAGTAGTTTGCATATGGGTGAAAAAATATTTAATTGGTAGCATGTGTGATTTGAACTTGGGACACTGCCGCTCGAGATATAGTGCATAACCCATGGTTATGGGGTTGTTAATGAGGCGAGCCGAGCTTTGTCTTGTTCATGTTCGGCTCGTTTGTAAACGAGCCGAGTCGAGTCGAACACGAGCCAGCTCATTTATTAAATCTTGACACATCATTAAGATTGAAAGTTTGGCTTGAGCACAACTCTAAGATAATTTATAATATAAATACCCTAATATTTATATGTCATATGTGGTACATGTGATTACCTAATATTGATGTGATCCAAATCCGAAGAGAAAGATGATGTTCTGGTTGATGGACTTACTCTAGTCACTTGTAAAGAGGATGCACAAGTTTTGATTTCCTCTCAAGAAGAACCAGAACTTAAAATAGAAAATGAAGAGAAGGTGCTACCTATCACCAACATGATAATGGACTTTGATCATGATGAGATAAATCTAAAGGAGCGTCCAAAAGAGTCACCTATTGAAGAAGTACAGATCATGTTGAGTTGGCCATTGGAGATGGAATTCTACCCAAGGGTGTCTATGACAATGAAAATATGGAGACAAATGTAAATGTTCTACAAGTTCAAGACAAGTTCTTCCCTATTGGAGTAGATTTTGATATTGGAGATGTCATTGACCATCACCAAAATTCGACCATGGGCATCATCAACATCCCAAATAGATAAGCAACATCAATTTCTGTGTTTGAGCATGGTCCAAGCTTTTCTCAATACAAGTCAATTCATATGGGAGATTTATGGTGCGAGTGTTGAACATATGGAGTTCGTTATTGGATATGAAGTGTCATACAAGGAGGCTCATATCAGAGAGAGACAAAGACTTCAAGAATTTCTGGATAAGCTTGGAATTCAAGGTGCATATTCAAGTTGGCAAATAATGAAGTCATGAAGAGGATTTATATGTCGCAGCAAGATTTGAGGTCAAATCTTCTTCAAGAGGGAGGGAATGATGCGACCCCGCTCACCCTATATGAGCACATTCGAGTTCAAGAAAATCAAAGAATCAAGAAAATCAAGAAAGTCAAGAAAATCAAGAAAAGGTCGTTTTCAAGAAAATCAAGAAAAGATCGTTGGAGCTGCGTACTTTGGTCATATCATCCGAGTTCGAGGGTTCTCTTCGGATTTGGATCATATCAAATATTATGTCATATATGAGACGTATTTGTTTACATATACTCAATATAGTAAACACCATATGAGGTGATATATATAATTTAATAATTATTTGCATCATTAACAAACCAACTCATAAAATATAGATTGATTTTCTCATAAGTTGTAGTTGAGTTGGCTCTCTAGTCACAATGTTGGGACATCTCATAAGCTCAAAACGAGACAGTTCATGAGTTGTATTAAATGAGCCACCTAATCGAGCTAGTTCACGAGCTTCACGAGCCTAACAAGGTAGAGCTCAAGCTCGGCTCATTTATTAACGAGCCGAGCTTTTTTTAATCGAACGAGCTTCTATCGAGTTCGAGACCGAACCGCTCACGAATAGCTCGACTCATTAACAATCTTAATGCACCCATGAGTAACTAAATCTGGAGCCTTTATTCAGAAAATCCATATTTAAGGGTGGAGAATTAAAGACATTTTCATTTTCTCTTGCTTTCTTAATCGGTTCACATCTTCTTCGTTTTAACTCTGATTTTTTTTTTGCACAGATGGAACGCATTCATTGTGCTCTACAAAATGACATCCATTTTCAATATTTTTTGAGAATTTTTTTTCTTGTCTCTCGTTACCAACTCCATAATATATGGTATCTTCTTCGTTTAGAAGTCGTTTTTGAAAATTATTGCAGAGAAGGAACGTTTTCATCATGATCTATTGGATTTAAAAATTTCTGAGTGAACAAAATACAAGATAAAAAATATCACACAATACCACCCTGGTACGGGGTGGTATCTTGTGGTACATAATGTTGAAAGTCGTAAATGACAGTTAATATACTCCTACTATCATGTATTCAAAGTCTTGGTATGTTCATACCATCATAGTACGCTTTTCATCCTATAAAATATGCTCTTATTTCAATACCAGTCAATACCATATGGTATAGACTGATAAAAAATGGCTCAATTTTTTTTGTTTCAAAAATATATCAAAGTGGATATCATTTTGAAGAGTACAATTTGATCTAACTGTGTAAAAAAATTAAATTCGACTTAAAACGAGTGAGAAATCGTTCGTAAAAGATTAAAGGGTGAAAAAATAAAGGCTTTTAAGGAAAGAGAAGGAGCGCCGATGTGACGGATTTCGATTGAGTTATGCACAGTTATTGATCAGAGGTTATTCACCACATTATCTTTGTTAAACTACAGCTCATCTGTTATTGTATTTTAAATCAAATATAATAGTAAAACACTATTCTATCCCTAATTATTTTCAAAACCTGACGATTAAACCCAATAACGGACTACCCTTGTCTAGTAGGATATATCGAGAGAGATTTGTTGAGCATTGTAGACATCAAATGTATTTCACTTATTTTGTAAATTTTTCCAAAATGCAAACTCCTATGTTCCTTTCATGACAGTATTTCTAAAAACACATCGTAGGCTTTTGTTGTAACTTGTACTAATGAGATATTTTTGTATTTAATAATTATTTAATTGAATTTTTGAATTAAATTTATTTTTGAATGATGACACTCCTATGTAAAATTTATGGATCCGACACTAAATCATCACACCTTGAATTTGAATGTTGAGGTCAACAACTAACTTTAAAAAAAATCAGCAGTTAAAAAAATTAGAGGTTAAACTGCTATTTTGGTTATTTTGCCCAAATTTCATGTATTAGATATATTATATATAACATATATCAGCTACGCACAACTTAGGTAACCCACTTCGCCTCTGCAGCCCCAACGATCCCGCTCTAATTCGCTAAAACGCGATTTTTCCGCAGAGCACCCAAAAATCGCGAATTACTTATTATGAGAGCGCGGATTCTCTGAAATGAAAGCGCGACTTTCTGACGACCATCCTTCTCTGATGAAATCGGCCGGGGGAAAGCCACTTTGAAATCACCAGATGCCACCGCTATCTCTTCCCAGCGCCGCCGAATCTAACCATCACCGCCGTCCTTCTCTTAGTTCACCAGCATCTGGCGTAGATCTCGCCCTTTGCCAACTCACCGGTTGCCGTCATCCTCGCCGCTCTAGTCATCAGTGGCCATCCAACTCTGTTTCTACCCCCGAATTGTCAGATTTTCCGGCGGTCGCTGATGCAAGCTCTCAATTCCGTTAGAGATGCTAGGCAGCCTTCTCACAAGCTCTCAAACTCACTCAACTCACAAGAACAAGACACAAGAAGATGGGAGAAACTCTATAGTTGTATTGCTCACAAAAATTATGGATGAGTTACAAGTGAGGGAGATGGCTCCTTATATAGGCCTCTCCTCATACAAGGCATCAATGCCCCTCATTAGGGTCCCTCCCCATTACTACACCCTATTAAGTTTCCCCCATAATGCACTCTATAAATGTCACCCATTATGTGACTCATAAGTGCACCATTAAGCTCTCATTTAGGTGGAGAATCCTAGGAGCATCTCTATGCTACTAGTCTTCCATACACGCCACATGTGCAGCCGCCATGTTGTCACCTTGTTGGCGCCATGTCATCTGCCACATGTGACATCCTCCCCCACCTATGCTCGCGACGCCCTCGTCGCGTCCTTACTACGAAATGCCTCCTTCGACCTCAAGCAGCCTCTTTCGACTCTTGAGCCTCGTTGGTGACATTCTCCTCCACTCAATCCACGACGCCCTCGTCGTGGCTCTTTGGCAGACGCCTTCCTTGCCTTAACTTCATTGCTTGCAAGGTCTTGTTGCACCTTCCTCCAAACCAAGGATGGCCCTGGCTCGCTCTCGAGCCTTGTGCTCCCATGATGTTGCGCACTCCTCCGCGGTCTTCTCCGTCGCGTCTCCGAGTGTCCCGCCTTCTCGATCATGGTGGCCTTTCCTTGCTTCTCATGGCAAGTCGAAGGTGACCCCTCCTCGTCTTTTATGGCTCCACGATGTGGTGCACTCCTTCTCGTCCTTCTCCAACGAGAATTTGAGTGAGCCGCTGCCTCCACCATCGTTGCCACTTCTTGCTTCCCTTTACTCGCCAAACAACTCTTGTTTGACGCAAGTTGCTCTCTTTTCATGGGAACCAACCTTGCTCCACCATTGATGCAGAATCTATTGGCGTAGGGAATCGGGAAAGCTTTCTCCCGCACCATGAACTCCATGCCGATGATGACCTGATAATCATCCAACGACACAACCTCAAAGTCCGCCACCCCAGTCCATCCTCCAAGCTTGAGTGGCACCTGGCGCGCTACTCCATGAGTTCTTGTGTCCCTTGAGTTGGTAGCCTTTATCCACCCTCTTTGCTTCTTCTCGTACGTGATGCCTAGCCTCTACGAAGGCTTTTGTTTTCCTTTGGTTGAGCTTCGCCTACGTCAAGAAGGTTGCAACTTGCCCCAGTATCAACCAAGGCTTTTGTTTTCCTTTGGTTGAGCTTCGCCTCTACGAAGCATTGGCCGTGCTGCTCGGGATGGGGAGGCTCTTCCGCCCGCTTGATGGCGCTCAATCTCTTCATGCAACCCATCTTCGCGACATGGGGCTCCACTCTAGGAGTCTCCTCTGCTTCCTCTTCCTAGCTCGAGCACTCTGCCAGTATGGCCTTCATTGCCGACAACTTGTGCTTTCTTGGGCAATCTCGCACACGATGTGGACCATCACAAAGAAAGCAAGTAAGTGGTTTCTCAACCTTATGACTACCTCCTTGGTCCGGTCTACCACGCCTTCGTGTGTCTCTATCATAGTCGCGTCCACCTCCATTCCCTCCGAACTCCACACGTTCCTCCGGCTCGTGGTACTCGACTAGGGACTCGACAATCGCCATTGCCTCGGCAAGACTTGGCACACCTCGTCGTTGTAGCTCCAACTTTGCCCATGGTTGGAGGCCGTCAAGGAAGGTGAACATGGCCTCCTTGTCGGTGTAGTCGGGGATCTCGAGCAACAATTCAGAAAACTCCTTCACATACCCTCGAATTTCTCCTTCGTGAGCAAGCCTCCTTAGTCTCGATCGGGCTTCAAACTCAACATTCTCTGGGTAGAATTGCCTCTTGATCTCCCTCTTGAAGTCATCCCATGACTCCATCACGCACGTCCCTTTATTGA